AATGTGTTGTTTATAGCACATATGTGCACCGAAAAATGCATTATTGAACTCATATGCAAAGACTACCATCTACAGCCTTAAAGCAGGACGAACAGATAAGATGGCCTATAACTATTTCTACTGGCTTTCCCACTTGAAGGTTCTGGTCTTCTCACAGATACTCTTTCGTTCCTACTTAAATATCATTCCCTTTAGTTGAAACATGTATAATGTAATGTGGCTTGTTTTCTAGGTAATACATAAATATCATCTTCACAGTTCTGTTTGAAATGGTCACTAAATAATGTCAGTGAAGTTAAACCATTCCCCCGAAAGAATAGGACGGTTCATATACAAGCTTTCTTTATTAGTCTAGCATCTCGATTTCATAAAATTTTGTTGCAAAATTCTGTTTTTTTACAGCCAATAACACAATGGGTTACTTAAACATATGTTTTTGTTGATAAGATTACATCCTGTTTTATCTAACTTGTTTAACAAAATTGAATGGATACTAAGGTCAAAGGTCACCATCTCGATAGTGAGTAACAATAATAAATAAATGATGTGAACAAGATAAACTATTTCGTCAGTGTTTTGAAAGGTCAAGATATCTAGAGTGTAATCATTTTCATGATATTAAATTTAGGTCACCTAGTGATCTATTTTAAAATGTATTTATGATGATCAAATGGAATTTGTTGTACATTCCATCGTGTATGTGTATGGTTGAATGTGTCACATCAACATCTTGATGTCTAATCGAACCTTCGGTCAGTAGCGGTAGTATCACAAGGTGGTATAGAGAGGCATTTCCAAAATCATTTGATTGAAAGTTATGTACATGAAACTTAACAAGAAGCTACTTGTAGTAGGTCAGGTAGAGCTATATGGATAGGTAGAAACTGCAATAGCAGGAGCTAAAAAATTAAGTGTTCAAAACAAGCTCAACATTAAGCATTTTAAAAGAACAACGACATTTTACCTCACTAACTGAACTTCATTGTTTTGATCGTCTATCACGCATTAAAACTACTGTTTTCGCTTCAATCGAACTTTTTTTGTTAAAGTAGTCGCCAACAATATCACATTTTCGAAAGTAATTTATCATCTGTGCTTTTCAGTATATTAGTTCGCTTCGTATTTGTTTGCACTTTTAGACCCAACATATTAAGATCTTTCACTTTTTCCTAACCATCAGTTTCTTCAATCTCTGAGTACTATCTGTGTCTGGTTACTTCTTGAAAACCTCAGACGGATGACTGGACAGTGCAAAAAAGCAATTGACATCGTCTAGGATGTCGACACCCTGTGGAAAGTGGCATGCAGTATGATGAGTGCAAGGGATGGTTTCGCAAAGTTTGTACGAATTGGACACTTGCGGCTTTCAAACGGCTTAGCAAAAATAGTTTCGTAGAGTTGTGTAAGCAATGCTGCTCGGACACAGACTATTATCGGAAGCCATTGCAATGTTTAATTCTGCTGAGACGGGTATTAACAAGCACAACTGAAGCATCAAACGGTACTCACTCGCTCAATACACAAATTGGTGTGAACACACCTCAATAAGCCCACATTCGGTTGGTTTACATGGGCCAACGAAGGAAAGACCGCCTATAAATAGGTCTATTGGAAATAAAGGCTCAAGAAAGGAGGTTTCTTACTTTCTACATCCTCGAAAAGGCAGCGAGTAAAAAATCGCCTAGAAAACCTAAACGCAAGGCTAGGCCTGTTCCTAGCAGGAAAAAAACAACCTGACTACACAAGTCATCGACAATCATCCAGGATCCCATAATGTGTGCAACGGAACTGTGATTGCCACTCCAATGAAATCTGATGAACAGGTACAGATCAACAATAGGAAATGATCAAATGTTGCTAAACAAAAGCTTGTTCGACAAACAGAAGTCGAGAGATTGAAGATTGATCGCAGTGACCGGTCAGTCGCTGTTCAAAGAGTACATGACTGGGAAAGTTCGGAATCCAGAACTCGTTTACAGCACGACATTGAGTCGGCAAAATAACTACCAAGGCAGCTACTGAACGGTATAGTCTACAGCAATCCAAACTGTGTGGTGAATGAGGTCTTGCTACATGATTTCAACGCTTGGTCTTCAAGTGGTCGATTTTTAATCTTCAGTGAGTTTAATGCATCGACGGTAGGCTGGAAAAATCTGAAGATTGAGTTGTCAAGAAATCCCTTCAAACAAAAGATAGTTGACGCTATCATCACATGTGCCCCAGTGCGACATGTGAAAGGAGCAACTAGGTACGACGTGGATTCTGAATCATCTTTGCTAGGTACGATATTGACCCGTTGTGAGAGTGTCGTCAGACACCTTGATTATCTGCCACCCTCGAATAACATCGATCATGCAGTTCTAGTCTTTAATTTTCATTTCGCTATCAACAGTGATGCGTCAGCACAACCCAAACCAAACGTCTGAAAGGGAGATATACAAGATATTACACACTCAGCATCCTCAGTAGATAAGACAATAGAGTCGCAGTCCTCAAATGAATCAGCTTTCGAGGTATCCAGAAATTTGTACATAAAGGTTAATCGACAGCAAGTTCCTTGGACTACACCAAGGAATCTGGGAAACCCCCCACAGTTGTTAATTAAATATGTTCACACCCTTTTCTGTGTACCGATAAATAAATCCCTAAAATAAATAGCTCTGTAAGTGTTCGACATTTGATGCTGACCACATTAGGTTTAATGGACTCACCTAGCCGAAAGCGCTCAGTCATGCATCCGCACCAGATCACGAGTGGAAACACAGTGTTCAAAATCCCCTGCGATCACTAGCCAGTTTAAATCAGTCACTTCTCGATATATTGATAATCTATCAAATATATCTTCGAACCTCCTCGCTTCTGACTTTTGAATTCACTTGATGGTTACAATTCATAATAGAAGGTGCTACTGGTTGAAGTGTTGTCAAACTCCGAATACCCGTGGCATCATCATCTGTAAGAGTAAAGAAATATGCGAGAGGTTTCGGTCACTGGATACTCATGGGACAGGATTCATAAATTCGGAAGCTTGAAATGTTGTGCCTTAACCCTCAGCAAGTCTGGAAATTGGTACGGCGAAAAAAATTAGCGAATCTATAGGATACCCTAAATGCCTATACTCGTTCATAAACCAAAGGACTAATAGAAGAGGCTTTGTTCCAGCATTATGAGGAAACAGTAGTGCTGAATTATTAGCGCAGGACAATTATGATTAAGCTCAGGTGCTCTCAAGTTATTTTGGCAATGTAAATACCATGGAGACACACTTTTCTCTAGTCCATACAAATCCCCTCGCACATTGAACACCGTGGTCATTAAATAAATCGATGTCTTTGGTCTGTTAAATGAGTTTGATATAGGGAAATCCATGGGATTGGATGAAATTCACCCGAGGTTACCGAAGGAAGTAGCACGTTTTGTCACGAATCCCTTAAAAATATGTTCTAATCTTTCCGTAACCCACAGCAGATACGAGACATAAACCTGAGAACTATCGACACGTAAGCCCAATTGGCGTGGTTGATAACATTTTAGAAAATATTATTCGGAAAGGAATGTTCCAGTCAGTATCTAGACTAAAAGCCTAATCTTCACGAAGAGCAGTATGGCTTTAGAACAGATTATTCGTAGCTCGTGAAAGTTGGTGCCCTCCTCAAGATCAGAATTTACCTATAGATGTAGCCTACATTGACTCCGGCGAGACATTTGACAAAGTTCCTCACAACCGGCTGTTATATAAGTTAAGTAATATCGTGATAGGAGGAAATTTATTACTGTGGATAAAGGGCTTCCTAGTTGAGAGCCAACGAATAGTACGTGTAAACTGAAGGTTGTCTAGCTGAGAAACTGTGCTTAGCAGAGTGCCTCAGGGTACAGTTTTTGGGGCCAGTGTTGTCACTCCCGAGTGCAGATGACCTTCATAGTCTCCTATCACCATAGGTTTTGTTATCTGCTGACGATATCGAGATATGGAGAGCTATAAAATGTAAAGGTGATGGTTTGGGGCTTCAGAATGATCAAGATAAATTATCTAACCGGTCTAAAATTTGGAAGTTGCAGACAAATGCTTCCAAGTGCAATACGATGCATATTGGTCACCAAGGCATATACACATGCATTGTGAATAACAGTGAGCTACCAGTTGTTCAGACACACAATGACTTAAGATTCATCACTAGCCAAGACTTAAAAACTCTCTATGTCCAATACGTGTGGTCCTCGACCATTTCGATAATAAAATCATTTTGACTTTGTGTGCACTATTCGTCCTTCCTAAACCAGAGTACTCAATAAAACCGACCAGTCCTTGATTTAAAAGAAGCAGTGAGTTTTTGGAAGAGAACCAAAGAACCGTAAATAGGCTGATTCGTGGAATAGTAAAGCTCCCTTATGATGCTCCATCGGCTGAACTAAACCTATTTCCTTTGTCATAAAGAAGAATCAGAGGCGACCTGATCATTTTTAAATTACTTGGTGATAAATTTGCACCTGATATCCGTCACTTTTCTTGTCTTCCTAGACCGAGAATTTACGAGGACACTACAGAAGTGCTCAAAAGTCCAGAACAAATTACTTGTCATCAGACTATCGACCACCCCGTTAGATCATCAGATAATAGAATTCACTAGCTAAACACTTGATTGAAGCTACATCTTTTGACGATTTTACAATAAAGTTGAATCAAATAAGACACCACCGCTGTCAGGACTAACAAAGGCAACATAGCCTCCAGCCCATTCCAAATTAAAACTGAGAACAATATATGTTGGGAATTGGACTGCCTTTGTATCAGTCATTTCCCCCTTCGCCATACCTGCGGTTTATTCAACTGTGTATACGAAAGGAATTATGGAGTAGCTGGCTACACTGGAACAATTTGTTACCCTTCGCGCAAACGTGCGAGTTTGTAAGATTATAATTTCATTATTAAGTCGCATTTAAGCTAACCATGATGATCCAAAGAAAACAAAAATGGACCTCTCTTACATTGCTAATAAATTATGGACATGTTATATCAAAAATTGCTGTTGGGGACCACTACTCCTTTATGGAGTACTGGTCTCGTCTCACCACTTTACGCTATCATAACTGATACTCCCGTCAAAACTGGGTGCTCAGACGTATTGGGCAGTTGTGAAAGTCCTGGCAGTTGTTCTGGTACATCACTGTATGCATTAATGATTTGCAGACTTCTTATCTGACATATCAACAAGCCGAAGCCCGGATTCTGGGAGAAATTGTATCTCATCCATTTCTGATTTTGTGCCAGAGGACGTTCTTGATTTTGTTGCTGACTACTCGGTAAATTTGTTGTTTACTATTACCTCTTTCTAGGCACGCCGTTCAGAGGCTGATACTGAGTTTGTGTATGACGACCTCACTGATGCAAACCCGACTTCTTACTTACCACAACCTACTGACTTCCACCTGCCTGATGTGCTCGCAGAATCTGGCAACACTGATTGTTTAGAGTCAGATTCGTACCCACGTGATCTTATCATGTCGAAAGTTAGACGAAATGTTCATTCGAAACGGCGTCGAGAAATTAATCGTGAGGCGTCAAAACGTTATCGACAAAGACTGAAGCAAAAGTCATTGAAAACGCAACAAGATCTTAGCCTTGTTATTTCCGCATATGAGCAATCCAAATCGGCTTACGAGAAAGCTGAACATGCTTTTGATGTGTTGAAAAATATTGTTCTCGATCTAATTAATATTGTTCCTCGAAATTGAACTGCCTTCGTCATTGACTGTTTTTTTGCTCCCAGGAAGCCTGTACTGTCCAATATATTTCTGAGCAGTGGTAAACTATGTCTTATGATTAAATCTGTGGTATTAGGTCGGGACACGTCCGTGTTAGGTCTTTGGGTCTGTCAGTAACAATTCCAGCGTTATTTGAGTATCACACCAAGTAGTTCTTGTGTTTGCCAATCTGCAAGTTTATCCCACAGTTTCTCATCGCCAATTGCTTCTGCTTTCTGACATTAAACATTCAATAATCTCTGCAGACAACCATATGTTATTATCATACACAGACACTCATATGGCATGAAAAGTGCTGGTTAGTTCTAAGAATCCAATTCTAATGTATCGTTCTGAGTAACACTGTGACCGTATTAGATAAGTAGATAGGATAATAGTCCGCGCGATTTCCGACGTAATTCAAACAGCGATCAGATGTACACCACATCATCTGACAATGAAAATTTGCAAAATTGTCTCGAATGTGAAATACATTTGGGTTTGATTTGGTCTGGAATTTCGGATAGTGACACGTTATGATCTAAAAGAATTGACAGACATATAGTGGGTTGATGTAATACATCTTTGGGGAGCGATTTTTGGCGTATGTCGCGTGAACTATTTTGATACTCCATTTATTTACCGAATCCAAATAGCTTCCAAAGATGCGTTGTGCTTTAAATGATATATTCATTGTACTCCACACACCGGTAAACGTTTAGTTTGTAGTTGTATAATTTCTGTACTACGGAGGTGTCAGTGTGGTGATTGCAAAATATCTTGTAAGTACTTCACACTACCCGTTCGTTTCGTGAGAGAACAATGTTTCTCTTCTAGTTTGTTATGCACTCACTAAAAGTAAAATGATCCTTCAGGAGTGAGCTTATTTGTCACTACAACTTACAGGATTTCGGCTGTCCGATGTTTTATGCCGTGATTATAAGACTAACTATCTAATTCCAACGGAGGTCATGGGAGTTAGTTACAACTACTCCCTTTACATTTTCATTCGAATAAATATCGTTTACTTACTGGACATTTTCAACAAGAAAAGTGTCTAACATTAATTTCATGCAATTTATAAAAAAATTCTATTCAGATTACGGAGAGTGCCTGAGACGAAATCGTCGAACCGAGCAACATATTACCAATTCACCAGTATGAACTGCTAAGGAGAACTCAGACTGCTTAATTTTTTGTAATTACATGTTATTTCTTTTTCTTAGAGAATAATCTCGATAGCACTTTTCTAAACTATATTTCAGTAATTACCTATACTGTTATTTGATCAGTTGTTTTTAATTACAGTTTGACAGTTGTGTTATGCATACCAACGTCACTGGGTCTTACTTTGTAAACGGAGTTGTCGAAGTTTTGGTCATCTGTTCGAAAGATAAAGTTGTTCTAAGAAGTCCCTTCACTAATTGGCGTGTGGATTATTAACGTCGAAGTGTTTTTCTTAAACGTCCGGTCTGTCAAGTTCCCATTAGTCTTTTTAGTATTAAAAGATTCTCAAATTATCGTAGGCCCAGCCGAAAACCAATCGCGATTACATTAAAAAACTTAAAATAAACAAACAACCCACAATTGATAAATACTGATGAAAACAAGTTCAAAATCTACTTCCAGGTTTTAAAGTTCGTTTATTGACGAAGTAGACACCTCTCTTTCTCTCTTTATATATATACATAACTATCTTATCAACCTTCATAAAATATATATTTACAAATATTTATAACTTCGTAGATGATTGATTGGTTTATTAATCCTTGTAATGATAAACCAACTCAGCCTAGAGTCTGTCGAGGGTTGGTAATCCCAATCCGTAAAAAAGAACTTTTCTAAAGCAAACGCCAGCCAGAAAAACCCATTTTAATTATTTAAATTCTGCTCAAGTAGTTCAAGGGTTTTCATTTAGAAGAGTTATAATGCCTTATGATAAAAGCCAAGATCCTTCGCCCCCCAAATGCCCTGGTACGGCCGAGAGTGGGGAGAGTCTACTCTCCCTCTCGAAATGCTCTCATATGGCCAGCGAATATATAGCCTCTGCCAGGGAAGTCCTACTCACTGCCTTCTCTTGGCGGGGGTGTTGTTTACGAAAGTGAGAGGACGAAAAGCGAATGTCCGGCGCTATAACCGGATTGGTGGACACGGAGGGTCCACCTAGGGGAGTTGGAAAACCCTGATTCCAAACCAATGGTGCACATGCGCTCCAGTTTCCTGATGGAACGAATGGCGGAAGAACCTGTCATTGGTCAACGACTACCATGGGACTGCATCTCCTCACGATGCTCCACTGCCTTGTGGATCAGACCTTTAGGTCAAAGGCTCCGGGTGTGGCCCCCTAAGAAAACCACCTGCTTCGGTTTGGGCACCCGGGCAGTATCACAGCCCACACACAAATGAATGAAATGACGAACTCTATTGACGATTCTATTCCTGCTCATATTATAAGCAAGACAATTTACGTTATTATTATTATTACTTACCATATCGCTAATTCACCCCCTTTTACCCCCAATTTGTGTAACCTTACTCAACTTATGCATCAGCTCGCTCTTGGTGGAAAATCTGTCCTATCTAAACGATCTCCAGTCACTGTCTGGTTGAAAGTGAATGCTTCCACCGATAATGAATACTGAGGCAGTCTTTCTGAAACCGCGTACGCCGTTCAAGCTGGCTTCCTTCAACGTTCGCACACTAATGCAGATCAGACAACAGATAGGGCTGGCTATGTCTTTGGAAGGTCTTAATGTTGATGTTTGCTGTCTATCCGAGACCCGTATTCAAGACTCTAGTGAAGTACTACAAATCCGCTCTCCATCTGTCTCGAAAAGCTTGTTCCACGTGCGCTTATCCGGGGACCCTGTGGCATCTTCGTCTGGTCTTGCTGGCGTTGGTGTCGCACTAAGCGCTAGGGCTGAAGCAGCACTAATCGATTGGTTCCCCATTAACAGTCGGTTATGTGCTGTTAGATTAGAAAGTTCCATCAAAGTGAGAAGAAACCGGCTTGAGAATCGGTGTCTTTTCGTCATCTCCGCCTATGCCCCGACAGATTGCAGCCCGGATGCAATCAAGGATGAGTTTTACCATCAGTTAACAGTTCTTCTCCAGAAAGCGCGTTCGACAGATATTGTAGTACTAGCCGGAGACTTGAATGCACAGGTCGGGCGTCTAGGCACAGAAGAGAGTCGTCTAGGTGGCCGATGGGGACTTGTTGGTCGCAGGACAGATAACGGGGACCGTTTGCTGCAACTGTGCACAGACCACAACCTGTTTCTGGCCAGCACTAACTTCCGACACAGTCATCGCCGGTATGCCACCTGGCGTCCTCCCTCTGCATCCCAAGCCTGGACTCAGATTGATCACATCGCGATCAGCTACCGCTGGCGTGGTTGTGTACAAGACTGCCGCTCCTTTTGGAGTACCTATCTGGAGTCTGATCATGCCCTGGTCTGCGCCAATCTCACCTTACTTTTCAGTGGCCGAAGGATTGACCACCACCAACGGATTGATATTAGTAAACTGGCTGCAACTCCTGTTGCAAGTAAGTACCGAGCGGAGCTAGCCTCTAGGCTAGCTAACACCCCACCGAAAAGTATAGATGAGCATTGGTTGCATCTCCACGACGCCATGAAAATGGCGAGTAAAGTCGCTTGCGGCTTCGCGAAACGTCCCGCTTACAAGCACTGGGTTTCTTCTGGCTCCTTACAACTGACGGAAGCCCGTCGGTCTACTCCGGGTGACCGTGAGATTGACCACAAACGAAGGCTGTTACGTAATGAAATTGGGCAAAGCTTGCGTAAGGACCGGGAAGCCTGGTGGTCGGAGCGTGCTAATGAGATGGAAGCAGCAGCTGCATCTGGTAACTGCCGGAAGCTCTTCCAACTCATCCGAGCCACTGGCAGCAAGAAGTCTGGTGTGAGTGAAACAATCTACGAGGATGATGGGATGCCAATCACTAACATCTCCCGACGTCTTGGACGATGGGCGGAATTTTTCGAAAGGCAGTTCAACTGGCCTGCTGCTCCGGCAACATCAACCAGCTTGTCCTGCCCCCCATGGCCGGTGACGACTGATCCACCAAACGAGGCGGAAGTCCGCAAGGAACTCCAACTCTTGAAGCGCTACAAATCACCTGGCCCAGATGACTTACCTCCGGCTCTTTTTAAAGATGGTGGCGACTTTCTGACTAAGGAATTGACTGTGTTGTTTGGAAAGGTTTGGGAGCAAGAAAGTGTTCCAACATCATGGAATGAGTCAATAGTCGTCCCTATCTTTAAAAAGGGTTCGCGTTGTTCCTGCAATAACTATCGGGGGATAAGTCTACTTCCGATTGCGTCCAAACTATTGGCTTCTATCATTCTTCGTAGGTTGTTTAAAACCCGAGAACGATTGACTCGCGAGGAGCAGGCTGGTTTTCGTTCTGGTCGAGGATGCATTGATCACATCTTCACCCTCCGCCAAATGTTAGAACACCGTCATACTTATCGCAGGTCAACAATCGTAGTGTTTCTTGATATCAGGACTGCCTTCGATTCGTTGGACAGGACTGTTCTCTGGGATTGTCTATTGAAGAAGGGTGTGCCTGAGAAGTTCATTAACATCTTAAAGGCCCTGTACACGAACACCTCAGGCAGAGTGAGGGCATACAACCACATTTCTCCCTTGTTCCATTCGAGCAGTGGGGTTAGGCAGGGTTGCCCGATCTCACCATTCCTCTTCAACTTTGCCATCGACGACATCTTGGAAACAGCTCTGATGGATGTAAGTAATGGCGGTGTGGATATGTTGCCTGGAGAACGACTTCTCGACCTTGAGTATGCGGATGATATTGTCTTACTGTGCGATAATGCCCAAGGCATGCAATCAGCACTTAATCAGTTGGCAATCAGTGTCCGCAGGTACGACATGTGCTTTGCACCCTCCAAGTGCAAAGTACTTCTACAAGACTGGCAGGATTCTAATCCTGTACTCACCCTGGATGGTGAGCAGATCGAAGTAGTTGAGAAGTTCGTGTATCTAGGTAGCTATATAAGTGCTGGTGGTGGCGTGAGTGATGAGGTTGATGCACGTATAAGGAAAGCCAGATCGGCTTATGCCAATCTGGGCCATCTTTGGCGCCTTCGTGATGTTAGTCTGGCTGTAAATGGTCGGATTTACAACGCGTCGGTGAGAACAGTTTTGCTCTATGCTTGTGAAACCTGGCCTCTCCGAGTTGAGGATGTTAGACGTCTCTGTGTTCGATCATCGTTGTCTCCGAAGGATTGCTGACATCCAGTGGCAACACCATGTTAGTAATGCAGAGGTTCGGCATCGTGTGTTCGGGCACAGAGACGATAATTCAATTGGTGTCACCATCTTGAAACACCGACTTCGATGGCTTGGACATGTTTTACGAATGTCGTCCCAGAGACTTCCACGTCGTGCATTATTTGCCGACCCTGGGACTGGTTGTAAAAAGCGGAGAGGAGGTCAGTGTATGACATGGTGTCGTGGCATGAAAGAAATCTGCAAAGGGCTAGCTTCTGTTGGACCTTCACGACTCCTTGGTTGGGGTCCGAGAGATGGTGCAACACAGTGGCTAGAGACGTTATCAGATATGGCTCAGAATAGAAGCCAGTGGCGATCCTGCTGCAACCTTCTTTTACTTTCTACATAAAGTATGGTTCTTACTTTCCTATTTGAAAGAGTCTTCTGGTTGTACATTTTAGTCCGCCTTATCTTTTCATCCCTTCTCTTCCTACTTTCATTATTTTGTGTGGCGCATATGTACCTGGTGCCCTTTTGTACCAATATATATGTGTTTAAATAAATAAATATAAAACAAGATCCTTCGGAAGTCAGGAGGCCGATGATTGATTGGTTTATTAATCCTTAACCAATAGAAGATGTAATTTAAGACAATGGTACCTTGGATGCTGACAGTTAATATGATAGACGTAATCCAAAGCTACAGACCCATCCAAATCGTTTAAATCAATAGAATTCAGTGTATTGGAACTTGATTTATCAGAGACTGTCCCCTCAGCCTTCACCGCTATGTGGATCGGTGACGGAGGCTCGAATACATCATCCTCACCATTAGTTGACTGAATGTGTTTATCGTAAGAAACATTCTGGGTCGATTCAAGTTGTTCTGTTCGAGGTATTTCTGTCATCTTGGGGATTCAAAAATTTTAGAAATTAGAATTGTAATCTACATTTACATAGTATCGTTTACTTACTGGACATTTTCAACAAGAAAAGTGTCTAACATTAATGCATAAATTTCATGCAATTTATAAAAAAATTCTATTCAGATTACGGAGAGTGCCTGAGACGAAATCGTCGAACCGAGCAACATATTACCAATTCACCAGTATGAACTGCTAAGGAGAACTCAGACTGCTTAATTTTTTGTAATTACATGTTATTTCTTTTTCTTAGAGAATAATCTCGATAGCACTTTTCTAAACTATATTTCAGTAATTACCTATACTGTTATTTGATCAGTTGTTTTTAATTACAGTTTGACAGTTGTGTTATGCATACCAACGTCACTGGGTCTTACTTTGTAAACGGAGTTGTCGAAGTTTTGGTCATCTGTTCGAAAGATAAAGTTGTTCTAAGAAGTCCCTTCACTAATTGGCGTGTGGATTATTAACGTCGAAGTGTTTTTCTTAAACGTCCGGTCTGTCAAGTTCCCATTAGTCTTTTTAGTATTAAAAGATTCTCAAATTATCGTAGGCCCAGCCGAAAACCAATCGCGATTACATTAAAAAACTTAAAATAAACAAACAACCCACAATTGATAAATACTGATGAAAACAAGTTCAAAATCTACTTCCAGGTTTTAAAGTTCGTTTATTGACGAAGTAGACACCTCTCTTTCTCTCTTTATATATATACATAACTATCTTATCAACCTTCATAAAATATATATTTACAAATATTTATAACTTCGTAGATGATTGATTGGTTTATTAATCCTTGTAATGATAAACCAACTCAGCCTAGAGTCTGTCGAGGGTTGGTAATCCCAATCCGTAAAAAAGAACTTTTCTAAAGCAAACGCCAGCCAGAAAAACCCATTTTAATTATTTAAATTCTGCTCAAGTAGTTCAAGGGTTTTCATTTAGAAGAGTTATAATGCCTTATGATAAAAGCCAAGATCCTTCGGAAGTCAGGAGGCCGATGCCCCTTCTAAAAATCAGAGCAACAATTAGCATAGGTATATGGAAAGTCCTCACAATGCAGGAGACTAGCAGGACCAGTCAAATTGTTGGGGAGATGAGATATAACCTGGCGGAACCTGATATAAGCGAAACCCATTAAAGTAATCAGAGGTTGCGAAGCTGATGGTTGTTGCTCCTTATAAGCATATGCAAATAAATTCTGCAGTACTATCCAACTAACGTAGACTATGCAGTAACGACAATCATAATGATAGTCACTGGACAAACTTTAAAGTGGCATTTCTTACTTCTCTTGAGGCTTAAGATATATAAAGTGTGAATCGTAACCTAGATACCATCATCTCAGACGACACATCCACATATATTCGTCCTGAGCCCAAAAATTCATCTGCTACAAGAAGTGGAGTAGCTTGTGCCTCCATAGTGCGTATGCATTTTCATACAGGCACTAGTAAAAACCTATTTAATGAGTGTTACAGAAAGTCTCACGGAGTTTGTGTCAAGAGCTATAATTGTTCGATTTCAGAAATGCTAAACCAAACTGAATCCCCTAAAAATGCCATCAAGAATATTAATCCTCGTGACTTATACTAAGCATCGGTCTGCAACTGCATTAGCTTACACGTGACTACGTCACATCTACTCGCTGCACTAGCAAAGATTTTGATCAACATTTTGGAGGGCCACACTGACAGAGAACTGAGTTAATTATCGACATCTCAGTTAGTGAGTCCAATAACATAAACACAACCATGTAATATCTAGCCTTCACGATGGTAAATTAAACTACATAAGAACTGCCTTTTTAATTGACATTATAAGTCGATGGTTATTAGTGTAACGTTACGAGTATTAGAGGATTGTAACGTACCAATACATTACAGCTCTGCTAACAGTAACTACAAACTTGCTTTAGTTGCAAACCTGCCTGATGATTTTAGATACTCTCTCAGGCTATCCTATTTGACAACTGCTTTTAGAGGAATATCGTCACCTCATTTTTTAACCTTTTCTCCCTCAACTGCCGTTCTATGAGGTCCCTAAATGGTGAGAACGATATTCCTGTTTTTAAAGTTATCCTCCAGAAGCTCTAATCAAATGCTGAATGGAAGTCCTCTTTCACCAGACCATAAACCTAATAGTTTTATAAATCCCCTCTCAGAACTATCCCTTAATAAATCACTCATTTAATTGACCCGTCAAACTTCCTCTGTAATTTCAGGCCACGTCTCGTCAATCACCACACTGCTTTCCCGCATATCCTACGTGTTGATTACTCATCTAATGAATCTCATGAAGACGAATATAGAGTCCATACTCTTACATCACGTTCGTTTTCGTCTTTCAACAACTTACATTCCCAAAATAATCCAAGCAATTCATCAAACTCACATCATGCATTGATTTGTGACCTGCTGAAAAATTTGCATCAAGACTCATGATGTATTTTATCCTCAAAAATTTCCGTTTTGTCATGAATAAACTCAATTAACAATGTTCTGTGTTGATTAGTCGTAACCCGTTGGCCTTCTGAATACATGGGGTTGGTGCTCTCATAACACTATGAGTGAACATATTTCTTTAGACTGACTAGCATGCATTGATGTCGAGAGTGATTACTTCGATCCATCCATGTTTGTGGAGCGAAACCTTCTGTTTTGTTGAGGGTTCTTTATAAACGAGGACAATGAAACTAATCGGTGATATTAAGGTCGTTCTCCTACTTTTGTTACTTAGACTCACGTTACCGATCTTATATTGGCTTCGCTACTTTACTAAGATAACCTATAACATACTAACTGAGGTTTTTACGTTATGAACCCATGGTTGGTACTTGGTGAAAAAAAAGTAATAAAGAAATAAATATCAGATAATAAGAAATGAAGTTGCTAGGATCTCTAAACATTTTCTCTTGTTGCATTTTCGATTTCAATGAAAGCCCTTCCCGATTCTAACTTTAAATTTCCCCCTATTATTGGAGTCCATTCCACCCTGCAACATATCACAACTCATTGTTCTCCAAAGTCATAATTTCCATGAGATGCCACTTTTGTATGGATTGAGACGACTGTGAAATTATAATACAGCACTAACATACACATTTATTCAGTAGTTAATATATCGGCATGAATATTCTGCTATATGGTTCCACTGATTTTATCCTATTTAAAGGCCTGTCTGGATAGCTTCTTATCTGTTAGTCCATGTTGCAAATTATTGATCTTGCTTATATAAATGACATGAACCTGCTATACCAGAAATTCTCTTATCACGGTATTCCTTATTACAGATGACCATGATCCTGTCGAGCACTTAGGCAAATCCAAATCAATGTGGTTAATAATATTGTGGCGAGTATACAGATTTATAATACAAGACAGTAATCACCAACAGACGAACAATAACAGAGAAAGCTAAGGGTGGAAAATCCTGATTGACGGCTTATGTAATGCGAAGAGAAACAGACTTAAGTAATAATGAAATGCAGTTTAGAGTCAATCGGGAAATATAAAAAAGAGATCATTTTAAGACTTTAGATTTACAGAATCAACGAGCGAATATACCTACATTACTACATTTCGGAACAGTGGACACCAACCCTGAGATACAGGCACACCCAGCTGACAAGTCCCAAATAGGGTGAAACGCACATCCTGAATTTCACTGCTAGCCACCATATATCTTTGCTTATAATGCTTGTGACTTAAGGCAATATCGAGGCCATCCGCACAGGATGCACATATGCCAATAAGAGACTGATCAATTGTAATCCTAAACATCAATGGGAGCACACGAACAAAAAATACAAAGTGACAGCTATTGTTTCCAACCACAGAGTACGGTTATCTTATACACCCCAATTAAAAAGTAAGACATATCAAGAAGCACTGTTTTTGGCTTTACAAACTGTTGTAACCTCCTGATATCCTCAATTCTATTCTCATTCTAACCTATTCATCTAGAATTGAGTACTGCATATCGATGTTAACAATGATTGGAAGTGCTTAAAACCGATGAGAACCACTCCAGTAGATCAAAATTAACGGCCTTATTAACCCTAATTAACATCTTACACTTAACAGTCATATCCGTTTGTAAACAAACAGTCTTGATGAAAAATTCGAATTAGGCTAAACTGCTTGGGAAACAACTCTGTGCTGAAGTCACAGGAACACTTAACAATCAACTATGAATGATTTAACGTGATATCGTAAATGTCTCCAAAATTTTCTCTGGATTGAATAAACTCATGCTAAATACAACCTCTACCGTTGCTGCTACCTTGACGTGGTGGTCGAGCTTTCCTATCGTGATGATCCAATCGAGCTATGCTGGTTGGAACAATCGTTCCTCGAGGTCCTACCATGCCAGACAAGTCGGTTGAAGAGCGGTAAGACTGAAAGCAGCAATCCCAAGGTCCGAAGGCGAAGTCGTACTGACGACTGTACAGAGGTGTGACAGTAGTAAGGTGTTTCCTTCAGACAACCAGCATGACAGCGATGCTGCCTTCCCACAAGGAGGTGTGGGGTTAGAAAACGTCGACACCCAAAATGTCATGCCTCACCTTACCTCACGGATTTCCGTCTCCAGCGGTAAGGCCCTTTGAAGAACGAGGCTAACAAGTAAGAAACCTCCCACAAAAAGATCGTGCACGACCGGCCTCAAGCAGTTGTCTCTTGGGCACTGCGGTCACGCTCCCAGGTCGTTAAGACCAACATTAATCCAACTTCCTTTTCATGTCCCTTAAGAAATACCCTTCCACGATGTGGATAGACGGGAAGTGATATCAGCCACCATACTTGTAGCAGCACACGAGACCAAGTTGGTCACAATCAAATCATTCCTACACCTAATAACTCTATTATCTCCATGAATAACCCTCTTCACGTCCCTTTATCACTTCGCACCACTAGGGCAAACGATTCCAGGACGCGGAACGTTATTCCTGGTCTCCTGAAACCACGCTCTAAACTACATGTAGGAGCTTTTAACGTCCAAATACTGTACCAAATAGGATAACAGGCTTCCTTAGCTAGGACTCTAGAATCTCGCACCATCGATGTGTGCTGCATCTCCGAAGCGCGCATACAAGATCCGAGTAGCGTCATTCATTTGACCTCACCTAATCAAAATAAAGAACCATCTCGATACACGCTTCGTGTATCTGGAAGCCCTGACGCTGCTTCCCGTGACCTCGCTGGAGTAGGTATAGCATTAAGTCTTAGGGCAGAACTAGCTCTTTCAGACTGGATCCCAGTAGACAGTCGTCTATGCGCTGTCCGACTAAACGGATCAGTAAGGACTCGGAAAGATAGGGAAACTCGTCGTTGCCTCTTCGTCGTCTCTGCCTACTCTCCCACTAGCTGCAGCTCAGACGATATAAAAGATGAGTTCTACAGGAAACTTTCTGACCTTCTCCGAGAAGCTAGGCGTTCTAATGTAGTAATAGTGGCTGGTGACTTTAATGCTCAAGTAGGTGAACTAAGTTAAAGGGAAAGACACCTGGGTGGATCTTATGGTGTCGTGGCTAAAAGAACAGATAATGGCGACCGTCTGTTGCAACTGTGCTCAGATAACCGCCTGTTTCTTGCAAATACTAACTTTGAGCATAAGGAAAAACATCTTTTGACATGGCGACCCCCGAATTCGTCCCAACGTTCGACCCAACTGGATCACATCAGCCACCGATGGAGGGGGTCGATAGAAGACTGTCGCTCATTCTGGAGCACATGTTTAGATTCAGATCATGCTCTAGTGTGAGCGCATATCTGTCTGCGTCTTACTGGACGTAGGAACGACGCTGCAAGGAAGCCTCTTAGGGTTCTACTTAATGATAGACAAGCTAAGAATATATTTCAGGAACAACTAGAAGAACAGTCAGACAGCCTTGTAAGTTGTGCCCACCCCGAGGCAGCGTGAAATGACATTCGAAAAGCAGTGGAAATAGCAGTGATATCTGCAAGTACGGTAAACCATATGATTAGAGAGAAACACTGGATCTCAGCAGCGTCTACCTTACTGATAGATGCTCGAAAACTCATCCCACCTGGCTCTGAGCATAACGAAGAGCGGAGTCAACTTAAGCGCAGGCTAACAAGAATCCTACGCAATGATCGCAAACAGTGGTGTGTAGGGAAATTAAGAGAGATGGAAAAGGCAGCGGCAATAGGTAACAGCAGACAACTGTTCAGACTTATTAAAGAAACCGGTATTAGGAACCCAACTATTAGCGAAACTATCTCAGACAAAGATGGGCATATCATTCATTCTCAATCCAGGAGATTGGACCGATGGGCAGAACACTTTAAGGATCAGTTCAACTGGCCTTCAGCCACACTTCAGTTACCCACGATCCCCAGTCGTCCTGAATGGCAAATTGATGTAAGTCCTCCAACCCTCGGTGAGGTTGAAAAAGCTATAGGACGTGGTTGCATAGACCAGATATTCACTCTACGTCAGGTCCTAGAACATAGACATACATTCAGACGTCCCACAATAGTAGTATTTCTTGACCTTAAGGCGGCATTTGACTCTGTTGATCGTGAGGTTCTATGGCAATGTTTGTCACTGAAAGGAGTACCAAAGAAGTACATTAACCTCATAAAGGCTCTCTACTCGAACACAACTGGTCGAGTTAGAGCCTATGGCGAACTGTCATCAGAATTGGTTACCTCAAGTGGTGTTCGTCAGGGCTTTCCACTCTCCCCATTCTTGTTTAACTTTGTCATTGACATACTTTTAGAGATAGCACTTTCATCATCTCAATCTCCTGGAGTTGAACTTTTACTGGAAGGCTCACTTGTTGACTTAGAATACGCCGACGACATAGTTTTATTCGGTGAAGACGCTGACAACATGCAGAGTCTTCTGACTACTATAAGCAACTATGCAGGCATGTTCGGGATGCGATTCTCTCCCTCGAAGTGCAAAATGTTACTTCAGGATTGGGTTGCATCGACACCTGAACTAATGATAGGGAGTGAAGTAGTTGATCGTGTTGACTGCTTCACTTATCTTGGAAGTCTCATCAGCCCTTGTGGTCTGGTATGTGACGAAATCTTAGCACGGATAAGGAAGGCTCGTCTAGCTTTCGCCAACTTGCGTCATTTATGGTGTAGGCGAGATATCCGTCTAGCAACAAAAAAACGGGTTTACTGTGCAGCTGGACCACTAGGTTTTCATAATAGGCTAATAAGCGTATTGTCTCTTTGAAACATTTTTATACCTATCATATAGTTCTTTTTTCCGACAGACAAAAACAACTCTTTAGATAACAAAATTTATCGGAAACATATCTAACCTCTTCAGCGCGAATGGGCCTTTGATCGAAAAACCCTCTTAGATCCTGACGGAAATAGTGGATAAGGCTAGGCCCGAAGGGTCCGGCAGCACGAAGAAAGGACAAGGGATTAAAGGAACGAAATAAATGACGAACAGTTGAAAATATCCATGCTTGAGCTGCACCCACATTCGATTGATCTTTAACTTTCAGGGGATCCTCCACAAAACCCCAAGGATCCGCTAGGATCATATGAACAACCCTAATTAGAAAGAATAAAAAGCATCGACAATTTCCAGTAAGCAAAGTCACTATTTTAGTGCAATTCATACAACACTCAAGTATTTTATAATTAGAATAAAGCATTTCACGACGTACAAATTTTGAGCTGATACTATATTGAACCAAGAACAATAGAACACTAGCTCAAGTCCCTATATTTCGAAACAGAGACATCAAAAAGGAAAATAAAACTAAACAGGACAACAGAAACAAGATTAAATGAAAAATAGGTGGGTCCAGAGCAGGGAAAGTCAATAGAGCTGGGCTACTGGTGGTTTAGAGAAGCATTAGTACAATTTTACTTAACTCAGATTGGAAACAAATTGTTTCATGAAATGGGTCGTTTTTAAAGTATAGCAACCCAGTGGCTTTCAATTAATATTTCCATTCGAGATGGACGGATAGGAATATACTATAAACATTCTGTATCACAATCTTCTTAAACAATTTAAATATTTCATCCACAGGATTATGTTCATTCAGTGCTTTAAACTGTTCGGGTGGATAACGTTTTGAAAGTATTCCCTAGATTCAATAGCCACTCCTTACAAACGCTTAACAGTCAATCATAACCAATGTAGATCCAAGCATATAGCTGCATAATAAAATGAAGTTAGCAAGCTTAGTGCCAAATGAGTTCATATTATAGCAGTATTATTGATAAGAACGACTAAAAATCAAGAATATGATTCTAAAGAGTATAAAGACAGAATATGAATCAGCCACAACCTGATACGTATGTACATCGGTTCAAGTTTCCATAAACCATTATTGCAGAGATCGAATTGTCTGGCCAAATCTCAGAAAAGTAAAGGTAGTAACAGTATCAGTGGTAATAGGAAAGATTTGGGATTGGAGATACGATCCGAGAAAATACAAACTAGTGAAATAAAGAAGCGAAAAAAATAGAAAATTTCGAATCTAAGAATTCCGAAGAAGACAAATAATGGATGTACCTGAAGCACTACAGATGGTCATGAGCCATGTCATTCAAAGTGTCTAACCACTGATCACGATAATCGAGCGAAAGGGAAACTTAAATTCTAGAGGAAGATCAACAATAAGTGCATTTGAGTAAGTGTGACTGGTTCTGAACTGTTACTTGACGTCTACAACTGACGATTGTGGCTATCTTATACAACAGTTAATTATTTCATTCATTGATGCCAAGTCTTAGTTAAGACGTCCCTAGGTTTATTACAACTGACTCCCATGCTAACTAGCGTTGCGCGTCAGGGTATGAGATAGTTGGGCAAACATAACACGTCTCAACTATCTCGATCGGTAGATTTGGTCTCACTACTTGATTTCCTATAATCACCTCCATACTCGAGGAAAACACTTATGCTCAAACACTTATATCCTACATAGGGCCTCTACATTTTTAAAGTGTTTCTCATGGTTAAAGTGTACGTGTATTTTTGGGTATACAAATTACAAACCATAACTCCACCTATAGCTCTTCTAGAGTTAATGCCAGTCCCAAGCCCACAAAAATGGTGAGGGTTGGACGTGGGATCGACAACCTCATCCAGCAGAAAACAATCTTGCTAAAAAAAACGTCAACCTGATTAAACCATTTAAACTCTGCCCTCCGAGTTCAAGGAAGAATTATGACGCCTCAGGATGAAAGCCGAGATTCTTCGGAAGTCACGAGGCCGACGCCCCTTCTAACAACTAGAACAGCATTTTTATAGGTATACGGAACGTCCACACAATGTGGGAGACCAGGAAGGCCTGACGAATAGCAACGGAAATGAGGAGATACAAATTGACAGTACTCGGAATCAGCGAAACCCAATGGACTCAAGCTGGACAACAAAGGCCAGATACGCGAGAGATGCTGTACTCTGGTCACGAACAGAAAAATGCTCCACACACTCAGGGAGTTGCTCTAATGCTGTCCAGGGAAGCACGAAATGCACTTGTAGGATGGAAATCTCACGGATCCAGGATCACCAAAGCATCCTTCAAAACAAAGAAGAAGGGAATCACAACAAATGTTATCCAGTGTTATGCACCCACTAATGATAGCAACGATAACAACGACAACGACAAAGAACAGTTCTATGAGAGGCTGCAATCAATCATAACGAGGTGCACAGGAAAATATCTGACCATCCTAATAGGAGACATAAACGCCAAAGTCGAAATGGACAACAATGGATATGAAGATATCGTGAGACGACATGATCTGTGGGAAAGGAATGAGAATAGTGAGATGTTTGCATATTTATGTGGATTTTAAAATCGTTATAGGCGGTACAATATTCTCAACCAAACGCGTATACAAAGCTACACGAGTCTCACCGGATCACACCACGGAGAACCAGATCGACCATATTTGCATCACTCTAAAATTCAGAACGACAATGGAAGACCTGGAAACCAGGAGATGAGCTGACGTAGCTTAAGATCACCACCTGATGGTTGCCAAGATGAAACTGGAGCTAAAGAAACACTGGACAACTGGAGAAACAGCATTACAAAGGTTCAATACAGCCTTCCTTAGACATACTGACAAACTCAACAAGTTCAAGATAACTCTCAACAACAGGTTCAAAGCCCTACAAGATCTATTCAAGAGAGAAAAAACTACTATGTAGAACAACTGAGAAGGGATCAAGGCATAATTAACTACAACGTGTCAGGAGGTTCTGAGCCGAAAGAAGAAGCATCATCACAAGGAATGGATCTCTATCGAAACGCTAGACAAGATTCAGGGAAGGAAGAACAAGGAGACAGTTAAAAACAGTCGAACAAAAACAGAGGAGGTCAAAACACAAGCTGAATATACAGAAGCAGACAAGCAACTGAAGTGGAGCACTAGAGCCGACAAGCAAAAATATGTGGAAGACCTAGCAACGATAGAAGAAAAACCTGCAAGAGAAGGAAATATCAGACAACTATATGACACAACGAAAAAACTGACATGGAAATATAGTAAATCAGAGAAACCGGTCAAGGACAAAGAGGGAAAGCCAATCACCGAGACTCAAGAACAGAGGAACAGATGGGTGGAATACTTCGAGGAACTCTTAAATAGACCAGCTCCACTGAACACAATGGACGTCGAAGCAGAACACACAGACCTCCCTATCAATGTCACTCCACCGATGGCCGAAGAACTCAGGGTGGTTATTGGAAAAATTAAGAGCTGGAAAGCAGTGGGACCTAACAATATACCAGCTGAGGCGCCGAAATCAGATATAGAAGCAACTGTAATCATGTTTCACGTTCTATTGGGAGGAGGAACAAGTGCCGACAGACTGGGAGGAAGGACACCTCATCAAAATACCGAAGAAAGGAAATCTGGGCAGATGTGAGAATTACAGAGGCATCACACCGTTGTCAGTACCGGGAAAGGTTTTCAATAGAGTGTTGCTGAACCGGATGAAAGACGAAGTAGACGTCCGACTTCGAGATCGACAGGTCGAATTCCGTAAGGATCGATCGTGAACAGACCGAATCGCAACACTACGGATCGTCGTTGAACAGTCAATTGAATGGAACTCGTCATTATACATCAAGTTCATCGACTATGAGGAAGTATTTGACAGCGTGGATAGGAGGACTTTATGGAAACTTCTTCGATACTATGGTGTACCTGAGAAGATATTCAACATTGTCCAGAATTCATACGACGAACTACAGTGTGCATGGAGGGCAACTGAAAGACGCATTCCAATTAAGGACCGGTGTCAGACAAGGCTGTCTACTCTCCCCCTTCCTCTTTCTTCTGGTGGTCGATTGGATTATGAAGACCTCGACATCTGAGAGGGAACACGGAATACAATGGACAGCTTGGAGTCAACTAGACGATTTGGATGTAGCAGATGACCTGGCCTTTCTACCCCATACACACCAACAAATACAGATAAAGACAACTAGTGTAACAGCAGCCTCTGCATCAGTAGGCCTCAAAATACACAAAGGAAAAGGCAAGATCCTCGAATACAACACGGAGAACACCAACACAATCACACTTGATGCAGCTCTGAAAGAGGTGGGCAGTAGCATCATCGATGAACAAGGAGGATCGGATGCAGACGTAAAAGCGAGGATTGGCAAAGCAAGGACAGCATCCATACAGTTGAAGAACATATAGAACTCAAAACAACTGTCAACCAATACCAAAGTCATAATCTTCAATATGAACATCAAGACAGTTTTACTCTAAGGAGCTGAAACTTAGAGAACTGTTACAATTATCACCAAAAAGGTACAATTATTCATAAACAGTTGTCTACGCAAGATACTCTATGTCCGTTGGCCGGAAACCATCAGCAACACAATTGATCAATCACTGCGTGACGATCAATGTCATGCGTGTCAAGTCCTTCTTAGTGCTGATCGAATGCTATCGATCAAGTTGCAATGTGGCCACTAGTCTAAGTGGCTCGACACTGCGTGCACTTTGTTGAGATAAGATGGTGGTTGGAAGTGGTCAACAGGAAACCCTGGACCCGGGTTTCGTGCTACTTGGCACTCGTCAGCAAGGTGTACCTGTAATCTTGAGGGAACTGGTGCTCCCTGACGGATTTGATTCCGTGTCACTCGATAGCATTCGATCAGCACTAAAGACTTGACACGCATGACATTGATCGTCACGCAGTGATTGATCAATTGTGTTGCTGATGGTTTCCGGCCAACGGACCACCACCACCATCACCACCCAGTGATCAATCAATTGTGATTACATCTCAGTCCTACAGTAGGTCGATTGTGGCCCGAATAGCTCAGTGGTAACGTCTTTGACTGTGAAGCTGAGTGACACGGAATCGAATCCGTCAGGGAGCACCAGTTCCCTCAAGATTACAGGTACACCTTGCTGATGAGTGCCAAGTAGCACGAAACCCGGGTCCTGTTGACCACCTCCAACCATTATCTTACAATTAGCAACAGCCTACTGTGGGAGAGAACAAACCAGGTTCCCGATGAAGAGGAAATTAGGAAAAGATGTTGGAGGCGGATATGACATATTGCGGAAAACATCAAACTTCATCACGAAGCAAGTGCTAGCTTGAAATTCTGAAGGTAGACGGAAAAGAGGAAGGCCAAAGGACACATTACGCCGGAAAATAGAAGCGGATACTAAAAGGATAAAATACAACTGGAAAGAATAGAGAATGCTGGTGGGCGGTCTATGGTCCTTCACGAGAAGTAACAGGCGCAAGTAATATTTTGGACACTATATTAGTCAAACTGATTAATCTGTGATTGTCACAAGAACACTTTTGTCCTCTCTTATAGACCGGCACAATCAGTGAGTGGGACCAGTCAGATGGGATTACGTCCAGTTCCCAGATTCTACCTAAGACCTCAGTCAATCTCACTGCTAATACGGGACTGCCATCCTTAAAAATCTCAGGGGTAAACTTGTCAGGGCCTGCGGCTCTCCCTCGCTTTAGATTTCCTATAGCTTTTCGAACCCCGTAAAGAGTTGAAGGACATACTGATCCCTAGAGTGTTCTCCCTACCGACCAAATCTTCTGGATTGAGAATGAATAACATATCCACGTTTTTCCGAGATAGTTTCGCTAACAGTTGGGTTCCTAATACCGGTTTCTTTAATAAGTCTGAACAGTTGTCTGCTGTTACCTATTGCCGCTGCCTTTTCCATCTCTCTTAATTTCCCTACACACCACTGTTTGCGATCATTGCGTAGGATTCTTGTTAGTCTGCGCTTAAGCTGACTCCACTTTTCGTTGTGTTCAGAGCCAGGTGGGATGAGTTTTCGAGCATCTATCAGTAAGGTAGACGCTGCTGAGATCCAGTGTTTCTCTCTAATCATATGGTTTACCGTACTTGCAGATATCACTGCTATTTCCACTGCTTTTCGAATGTCATTTCACGCTGCCTCGGGGTGGGCACAACTTACAAGGCTGTCTGACTGTTCTTCTAGTTGTCCCTGAAATATATTCTTAGCTTGTCTATCATTAAGTAGAACCCTAAGAGGCTTCCTTGCAGCGTCGTTCCTACGTCCAGTAAGGCGCAGACAGATACGTGCTCGCACTAGAGCATGATCTGAATCTAAACATGTGCCCCAGAATGAGCGACAGTCTTCTATCGACCCCCTCCATCGGTGGCTGATGTGATCCAGTTGGGTCGAACGTTGGGACGAATTCGGGGGTCGCCATGTCAAAAGATGTTTTTCCTTATGCTCAAAGTTAGTATTTGCAAGAAACAGGCGGTTATCTGAGCACAGTTGCAACAGACGGTCGCCATTATCTGTTCTTTTAGCCACGACACCATAAGATCCACCCAGGTGTCTTTTCCTTTCACTTAGTTCACCTACTTGAGCATTAAAGTCACCTGCTACTATTACTACATCAGAACGCCTAGCTTCTCGGAGAAGGTCAGAAAGTTTCCTGTAGAACTCATCTTTTATATCGTCTGAGCTGCAGCTAGTGGGAGAGTAGGCAGAGACGACGAAGAGGCAACGACGAGTTTCCCTATCTTTCCGAGTCCTTACTGATCCGTTTAGTCGGACAGCGCATAGACGACTGTCTACTGGGATCCAGTCTGAAAGAGCTAGTTCTGCCCTAAGACTTAATGCTATACCTACTCCAGCGAGGTCACGGGAAGCAGCGTCAGGGCTTCCAGATACACGAAGCGTGTATCGAGATGGTTCTTTATTTTGATTAGGTGAGGTCAAATGAATGACGCTACTCGGATCTTGTATGCGCGCTTCGGAGATGCAGCACACATCGATGGTGCGAGATTCTAGAGTCCTAGCTAAGGAAGCCTGTTATCCTATTTGGTACAGTGTTTGGACGTTAAAAGCTCCTGCATGTAGTTTAGAGCGTGGTTTCAGGAGACCAGGAATAACGTTCCGCGTCCTGGAATCGTTTGCCCTAGTGGTGCGAAGTGATAAAGGGACGTGAAGAGGGTTATTCATGGAGATAATAGAGTTATTAGGTGTAGGAATGATTTGATTGTGACCAACTTGGTCTCGTGTGCTGCTACAAGTATGGTGGCTGATATCACTTCCCGTCTATCCACATCGTGGAAGGGTATTTCTTGAGGGACCTGAAAAGGAAGTTGGATTAATGTTGGTCTTAACGACCTGGGAGCGTGACCGCAGTGCCCAAGAGACAACTGCTTGAGGCCGGTCGTGCACGATCTTTTTGTGGGAGGTTTCTTACTTGTTAGCCTCGTTCTTCAACGGGCCTTACCGCTGGAGACGGAAATCCGTGAGGTAAGGTGAGGCATGACATTTTGGGTGTCGACGTTTTCTAACCCCACACCTCCTTGTGGGAAGGCAGCATCGCTGTCATGCTGGTTGTCTGAAGGAAACAACGTACTGCTGTCACAACGGACAAGGAGTCCGTCGGCCGGAAATCATCAGCAGGTGCTAGCTTGGAATTCTGAAGGTATGTTGAAAAGGGGAAGGCCAAAGAACACATTGGGAGCAGACATCAATAAAATGAACAACAACATGAAGCAACCGGAAAGGTTTGTCCAGGATAGAACTGGATGGAGATAGCTGGTGGGCAGCTTATACTCCTTCACGAGGGTTGACAGTCGTAAGTAAGTAAGCAAGTTTAATAATTAGACTGCTCGTCAAATTACAAGATTCAGGGCGGATTAATGTCATGCTGCTACACTAAACAACGGCATTAGTAACAAAGATAATTTGCTTCTCAGTAATAACAAGTTACCCAGAGTTCTGCTGACAACAGTGACAGACTTCAACAATGAAAACGATATTCCAACCAGCAGTTACAAAGTTTCGGATACAATCAGTGTCAGTCACAAGAGTATCATGGGAGCTAATAATTAAATATTTAAGCATTATTCAAAATAATGGTTGGGATCTTCTTGACAGCCGGCGCTAATGTATCTACTGAAAAAATATTTCATCACCCCTATTTCATGGAAAAACAGAAACCGAGCTCTCACGAAATAATAGTAAAAATATGATAGTAGTACAGGTAAGCCTATTTACGTCAAGCGGAACAACAACGACCGCAAAGAAACAAGGAACTAAAAGTAGTAGAACGAATAATGAAATGTCAACAACCATGTTTTATAATGATGATGGAAAATTTTCACATACTACCATTGGTACATGACCTTGATCGCTTTACTCTAGGCAATTTAAGTGGTATAATCTGAGATCTTCAAAGATATGCGATGCACTACGAACCCAATAACCCTTTTGTGGCTGTCATGATTCCGTTAGCTTTAGTTCCAAAGTCATCACCTACCATGGCTTTTGCATCCTTATGGCCAATAACCCTAAATGAAACATCCGACTCATAATATGGTGATATTAGTCATGATGACAACTTATTTGTATGGCGATACTTTGCTACTAATCGCAACTGATTTATACACTCAAGTAGGTTATCTCTATCAACAGATCATAAGATTTGGGGCTATATGATAACGTGTGTTTAGTCATTATCCTCTCAAAACGAATATATTAAGACCGATCAACTGGGAACCCCATATTCGGAAGTTCGCCCTTCGGTTTATCACCTGTTCCTAGTACATCACACGTCTGTTACCATGGAAATAAAGGCGTGATGAAATAAATCTGCAGATTTAACACTGAAGACTTACAGGGAAATAAGTAAATTGGGTCCACAAGGTCTTTTTATCAAGTTGCAGGGGTACGAATTCGCTTTTATATCGAGAAAGAAATGCTCGATTTAGGCGAAATACATTTGTTTATACATTCCATTTTCTCTAGGTTTTTTGCGGTGGCGATTGTACCTCCTGGAAATGGCGGTACCTTGCAGTATTGGGGACATGTATGTCTTGAGTTCTCTTGAATAACGCTTTCAGAGATGTTGGCAGCAAAGGAAGTAGGTTTCCATTCTGGTTAAAATGGAGTCGTACATCAAATGATCTTCTGAAATCTGCAGAGCAAAAACTACTGTCACGTATTTATTCTTTTACGATTTTAACCTGTTTGCATATAGGAATAAAAAGTGATGTGGAAGCTTTTTTCGTGCCTATTTTCAATGGGTCCTGCTACATTAGAACCTTTGTTTTCCGAAGACATAAGTTCGATCAAATATCATCCACAAGTAAAATCACGGATATAGACCGAGCCATTCCCATTGTATTAGTCCATGGATTTGGTTCTGGATCTGCTCTTTGGTGTAAAAACATTGATGCGTTTGCCTGCTATCGCCCTGTGTACTCACTGGATGTTCTCGGATTTGGGCGAAGCTCTCGACCTTCTTTCCCGGCAGACGCTACTGCAGTAGAGGAAAAGTGGGTCGAGTCTATTGAGCAGTGGAGATCATCGTTAAACCTGGAAAAGTTTATTTTACTTGGCCATAGTTTGGGTGGTTTCTTAGCTTGCTCCTATGCACTTACCCACTCCAACAGGTATGTTGTGAAAATTAGTAAGTTTACCAAACCTTTATCCAATTTTCGATTTTCTCCATTTAAATCAATAATAGGCCATGTAGTACCTTATCCTTTTTGTCACTTTAATACTAAAAATGTCTAAACTTCCCAGAATCCCGTTGTATTTTAGGAACATTGTAGATGGTGTAACGGTAAATAGAAATGTAGGTGATAGTCCCAGCTTTTTCTGTACTACAGATGTTCATTCGTCGCATATGTAATATGTAATTTGAATCATAACGTACAATTTTTCAGTTCAGTCACTCCAGCTTGTTTGTGTGGCTCTAATCATAAGCGGTGAGCCGAACTCCAAATAAGTATGCGATTGGAGAAATGAAGTTACTCTAATTTTTTTGAAAATACTAGAGCCCGTACTTTTCGAGTAAGTCATTGTAGTGCAATGAATCATAATACCACGTGTTTAACAAAATTTCTCTCATTGCTGTTTCCTAGGTTCTCAGGATTCCATTTTTCGACGACCCAGCCATAACGTATGACTTGCACATTTCACTATGTGCGGCTGTTACCGTATTTTAGGACTCGAATGTCAAGCAGTTCGTCACAAGCATGAAATTTATCTGGGATTTCTAAGATTTAAACAGTCGGATATATAAATATCCTTCACGAGAATGTTTCTGTACACGGACTCATACGATCGGCGAGACTAAAGAACATGGACGACCTTTGAACGAACCTTAAATAACCTTGAGAAATATTAGCCAATCAGAAGACAGTTAGCATACAGTAAAAATATATTATGTAAAACTCAAAAATCAAAGGGGATACTGTTCTTTTACATGAATCAAAAACTTATCAAGGTCAGATATAAGTTCAGAAGTTCTAAAATCATAGTGCATCCGGCACAGGAACTCATCCCTGTGGCTCCATAGTAGTCGACCTCTAGAACCATGATAAAGTCCCGAAAATTCTTTCAGCCTCGACCACATAGTTTCAGTGTTGTCGGTATGTTGGTATGGTTTAGGGTTTAAGATTAGGGTTAAAGATGAGACTAGGAATTATGGACGACATTTGAGCGACGCTAGAGTGAATCTGAGAGTGTCAACGTAATAACTAAGACTAAATGAGGGTTATAAACCCGTGTGAAGAATTCAAATTATGATTTACAGTTCATGGTTAAGGTTAGGAATTATACTTAGGGTTTTCATCACAAACTGACATCAGCTATAATGCCACAACCCTATCCAAGTGTATAATTGAATTTTGCGCCAAAATCTTATGATAACTTATCTTGTAGATGCTTAATTATCATGTTTTCTCTAAAATCCGTTGTAAACCGACCGTACGTAAGCGTCAGGTACTGAACTTAGCGCCGTGACCTTGAAAACCCGCGAAAGCTTCTGATTGATTCGTCCATGTTCTTTAGTCTCGCCCTCCCACCTTGGTTTATTAAAGTAGGTTTTACCATTTCGGTTCTTGCATTTATAATCCACTGATTCCCATAGACTGGAGAATCAAACTCACAGGACCTAAGTTGATCGTACCATGGAAGCTAAATTTATATAATGATTCATTGCATCATAGCTGTATTAAACTAGAACTCCAACCCTTCTGTGAAGAATATAAGTATCGTGAGAAAGAGCTGTATATGATATCCAAGCAGATGTTAATTGAATAGTTGTATCTATCAACAACTCAAACCAAAAGGTTTAAAAAAAACCCAGTTGGCTTCGTTGATAGCTACTCGGAAGCACATCCTGACATTCTTGAGCAACGATAAAGAATAAAGAAAGCTTAAACATAAACTAACGAAAATTTTAGCTAATAATTGTGAGCAGTGGTGGACAACAAGAGTAAAAGAGACAGGAGGACAGTGCCCGTAGGTAACACCAGACTGTCCAAACTTATCAAGCAAACAACTACCAAAATACCAACCGTAGATTCAACTGTTTCTGAAAAATACCTAACCGTGATGCACTCTACGGAAAATCAAAACGACAAATCAAACATTCCTACCGACATGTAGCCCACATCCAGGGACTGACTATTCTCAACCAACCTAACCAAGGACGTTGACACAGATCTATCAACTCTTAATAATGCTTATATATAGCTGCTAACTTGACGTGGTGGTCGTGCTTGCCTATCGTAATGACACAACCGAGCTATATTGGCTGGAACATACGTTCCTGTAGGTTTCACCATACCAGACAGGTCGGTTGTAGAACAGTAAGACTAAAATCAGCAACTCAAGGTCTGAGGGCGAAGTTGAGCTGCTGAATGCGGAGAAGTGCGACATCAATAAGATGTTTCCCTCAGACAACCAGTATCTGCAACGATGCTACCTTCTCACAAGGAAGGAGGGGGTTAGAAAACGTCGACACCCAAAATGTCACGCCTCACCTTACCTCACGGATTTCCGTCTCCACCGGTAAGGCCCTTTGAAGAATGGGGCTAACAAGTAAGAAACCTCCCACAAAAAGATCGTGCACGACTGGCCTCAAGCAGTTGTCCCTTGGGCTCTACGGTCACGCTCCCAAGTTGTTAAGACCAACATTAATCCAACTTACTGGACGTAGGAACGACGCTGCAAGGAAGCCTCTTAGGGTTCTACTTAATGATAGACAAGCTAAGAATATATTTCAGGAACAACTAGAAGAACAGTCAGACAGCCTTGTAAGTTGTGCCCACCCCGAGGCAGCGTGGAATGACATCCGAAAAGCAGTGGAAATAGCAGTGATATCTGCAAGTACGGTAAACCATATGATTAGAGAGAAACACTGGATCTCAGCAGCGTCTACCTCACTGATAGATGCTCGAAAACTCATCCCACCTGGCTCTGAACACAACGAAAAGTGGAGTCAGCTTAAGCGCAGACTAACAAGAATCCTACGCAATGATCGCAAACAGTGGTGTGTAGGGAAATTAAGAGAGATGGAAAAGGCAGCGGCAATAGGTAACAGCAGACAACTGTTCAGACTTATTAAAGAAACCGGTATTAGGAACCCAACTGTTAGCGAAACTATCTCGGAAAAACGTGGATATGTTATTCATTCTCAATCCAGAAGATTTGGTCGGTAGGGAGAACACTCTAGGGATCAGTATGTCCTTCAACTCTTTACGGGGTTCGAAAAGCTATAGGAAATCTAAAGCGAGGGAGAGCCGCAGGCCCTGACAAGTTTACCCCTGAGATTTTTAAGGATGGCAGTCCCGTATTAGCAGTGAGATTGACTGAGGTCTTAGGTAGAATCTGGGAACTGGACGTAATCCCATCTGACTGGTCCCACTCACTGATTGTGCCGGTCTATAAGAGTCAGTCAGTCACAACGTAGAACTTCGTACGTACGTGCATCAGTTCGAGTTGCCATACCACATTAGCACAGAGATGCAGTTGTCGATTCAAATCCCATAGTGGTAGAAGTAGTAGGAGTATAATCAGAAATCCAAAAGATTAGGGTTTGAAGAAATTATTGAAGGAGTATAGTACAGTGAAATAAATTTGGAAAGAGAAAAAGGATAGGGACATGAGGAATTCAGAAGATTAGAATTTGGTAGAACACAAAGAGTGGATGCATCTTCGCCATTGCAAACGATTTTGAGCCATGTCATTCAAGGTCTCTAACCATCGGTTGCTGTCATCTCGCGAATCCCAACCAGGTAGTCTACACCTACCAACATGGCTCAGTCCACTTGTCAGTGACTTCATTGATTTGTGCCACGTTTTGGTCTGGCCACCCCTAGCTTTCTTCCAACCTACTCCTACACCATGAAACATTGCACGTCGGGGCAGTCGGTGGTCGGGCATACGTAACACATGTCCCAGCCATCTCAACTGATGAAGTTTCACTACTTCATCAATCCATTTGCCATCCCTACCTAGTACTCGTTTCCTAACAACTGCATTACTTACCCGGTGGTCCCAGGATATACGAGCAATGCTTCGAAGACACCTATGATCAAACACTAGTAGCCTACGAATATCCTCTACTCTTATTGGCCATGTTTCACTGCCATAAAGTAGGACGGAGCGAACTGCTGCACAGTAAACCCGTCCTTTTGTTGCTAGACGGATATCTCGCCTACACCATAAATGACGCAAGTTGGCGAAAGCTAGACGAGCCTTCCTTATCCGTGCTAAGATTTCGTCACATACCAGACCACAAGGGCTGATGAGACTTCCAAGATAAGTGAAGCAGTCAACACGATCAACTACTTCACTCCCTATCATTAGTTCAGGTGTCGATGCAACCCAATCCTGAAGTAACATTTTGCACTTCGAGGGAGAGAATCGCATCCCGAACATGCCTGCATAGTTGCTTATAGTAGTCAGAAGACTCTGCATGTTGTCAGCGTCTTCACCGAATAAAACTATGTCGTCGGCGTATTCTAAGTCAACAAGTGAGCCTTCCAGTAAAAGTTCAACTCCAGGAGATTGAGATGATGAAAGTGCTATCTCTAAAAGTATGTCAATGACAAAGTTAAACAAGAATGGGGAGAGTGGAAAGCCCTGACGAACACCACTTGAGGTAACCAATTCTGATGACAGTTCGCCATAGGCTCTAACTCGACCAGTTGTGTTCGAGTAGAGAGCCTTTATGAGGTTAATGTACTTCTTTGGTACTCCTTTCAGTGACAAACATTGCCATAGAACCTCACGATCAACGGAGCCAAATGCCGCCTTAAGGTCAAGAAATACTACTATTGTGGGACGTCTGAATGTATGTCTATGTTCTAGAACCTGTCGTAGGGTGAATATCTGGTCTATGCAACCACGTCCAGGTCGAAAACCAGCCTGGTTTTCTCTAGTCTGCTCATCACGAGCTTTGGTTAGGCGACCTAGTATTATTGAAGCTAATATTTTAGACACTATATTAGTCAAACTGATTCCTCTGTGATTGTCACAAGAGGACTTTTGTCCTTTCTTATAGACTGGCACAATCAGTGATTGGGACCAGTCAGATGGGATTACGTCCAGTTCCCAGATTCTACCTAAGACCTCAGTCAATCTCGTTGCTAGTACT